AAAAAGCAACAAAAATCATTACAGGCTGCAAATTGATCTATAATTATTACAATACACAACATAAGCATACATATTTCCATATTAGATCATTACAACTAAGATTACAGTAAATTAAAAATTGCCGTAAATCAAAATGGTGCAGTGAAATTAAAAAGTAAAAATAGTGAAGCATCTTTGTCACTGCTAATAGCAGCAACAGCGTCACTGAGACAAATACTAGAGTCTGAGGCAGGATCTAATTCACTAGAGGCACCATCTGACTCCCTACCAACATGAATGCAAACTCAGAAATATGAAAACGTTAATCTAAATCAAGATTGTCATTTTGCCAGTAGCGCTCTTCCACTTTATCCCTCACATGCTTGACCAAGTCAGCCCATTGTTCCTTAGTTACCACCTCAAAACCCTTCTCTGCATAACTTTAGCCTCAGCAAGGTTGAACTTGCAGGTGTTTGCCTTTATGTGGCCCTTCACCTGCACCCACGCCAATTCAAATGGATTAAGTGTGCAGTGGGCCACAGGCAGACGAACAATCTCGTGTCCAGCCATAAGAGCCATTTCATCAACAACATACTTAGTATTAGTGATGGCCATTTTTCTGGCTGCGTCCTGTACGATTAATAAAAGTTGTGACTTAGTTCAATCATCATAAAAAACCTCTACATCATAATACACTAGCCACACAATCATAGATTTAATCCAACTTTTCTTAGGCATCTCTTTCATTCCTTGCATGATATGAGGCATTATTTAAAATAAGACTATCAGGAGGAACATTTGGGAGCAGCCTATCTCTATGCCACTCCTTAAAATGCTCTCCAGTCATTTTGTAGCATGGTAATCCCGTGTTTTTCTTGAATTGGATAATGAGAGTGGTGTTGGAAATCCAATCAATCTCACCTCCCATTCCAAGAATAATTAGACGCTTGCCTTTACTGGATTGGCATCTCTTAAGTACACCATGTTGCAGTATCGTTTTCTACCCAGGCCAAATCTTTGCCATCATAGGCATTGGCCCAGGTTTAATATAAGACGACTACTGGTTTAACATCAACTCTATTTTGCTTCATCTTGTGAAGGTAAGTTTTGCTCTGCTGAACTATGTGTGGCTGCTCCTCATAGTACCATCTGTTGTCAACCTTCTTACAGTAAAAACCTATGTGTTTCATGAGTCGATATAGTTGTGTCCTCCGTCCATTAAAATGCCTTTGTCTCGTAGTGTCTTTAGTAATTTTGTACTTGTCACGCGTTTTTTCTTCTTGTAAAACTCGTACACTTGAAGTCAAATCATCTAATAGTCAAAGGTGTCTGTTGTAACTGTACATCTTGATTGTTTGTAGCGTTGCTGCAGTGATGGTACAGCAAAAAAAGTGTGTTGCTGTGTTGTAGTCTGTTGCAGTTCATCTCGTTCTAAAAATAATGTATACTCGTGATTCCTACTTCTAAAATTAATTTAATAAAAGGAGTGACCTATAGTGACATTTACTATGCATATTAATACAATTTCATATATTTATGCTGTTCTAAATAGTAAAAAAGATAATGCTGACTTGTTGCATCTGCTGTCCTCTTAAATGGTCCATCTGATCGTCCTTTCTTATATAATTTATTGAAATAGTCATAACTGTTACATAAAATAGTCTTGGCTTGTCCTTTTAGTTGAATACTTTGTCCTGTCTTGTGTTTAATTGCCATCTAGTTGGTGTTGTTTCATAGTATCTAAAATTGCTTCATGTGTAGTCTCGTGCCCCACTGGTCATAAGACTCCTTCAATTATTGCTTGACTGCTTCATCATTTAGTGTTGTGGTTTTTAGTATCTTTACTCTCTGTGCCCACGTGGTCACACATTTAGGTGGCTTTTAATGGCGTAAGTGCTCGTTAAATGGCTTTCTTCTTTGATTTCTCTCTTGCCTTTTACGAGTTCAAATGTAGTACCATGATACATAGAAATACAAAGTCAGTTTGAGCCTAGTATAAATCAGCTACAAAGGTAAAATTTTCAGTTAACGTATGTTATATTCAAATTTAAATTTGGGTTGGGCAGCAATACAGTACTACCTGCAAGTGTACTGTGGCACACCCTAGTATATGTATGAATTTAATAGAAATTGATAGATACCTTATTATTATTAAATATAATTTCATACAAGAGACAGAAATTGGTGATCTACTTTACAGTTGCATGTACATGTAGAAAAGGGGCTGATTTTAATCATTAATGGATTTTCACTGTGGCTTTGCAGCATATGGAGCATTTATTTTTATAATACAAAGTGTAGACTCTACATAGTGGATACTTTAGTACAAGAAAGTTGCCCTGCTATACAGATGTGTTTTTAGTGTGGAGGTCGTTTACTGTAAGAAATGATATTGGTACATTAGGTGCTGTCAATTAAATGCAGATCTACATGCACTAGCCTAAAAAACCATTCATTAATAGAATTAAGCAAAATCAACCACAAGCTCAAGGTATAACATATGTGAGCTAACTAATCTAAATCCAAAATTTCAAACGCCACTTGCTGGTGTACCTGAATCATACGATACTGCATGGCGGAAAAATTGTCAAGGCCTAAAAATTTTATGGATCCGTTCAAAAATGGATTTTGTGGCTTAAATTTTCGTGGTTCTTTTTGGCCATCTTGAATTAACTTTTGCAGATTCTGTTTTCGTGGATTTTGAAAAATTGTAAAATGCACAAAAAATTTTGTTTCACAAAAATTTTCCACTATAAGGTAATATGTAGTTAACTAGCAAATACATGTTGTGGAGCAAAAAATAAGATAGTGAACACAAATGAATAGAATTCATTGCCCACATACTGTCACTTGTGTAGTATAATAGCACATAAAACCAAAGGATAGCTCATTAGAGATCAAAATGATAAATAAGAGCCAGCAATTTGGCCCAATCATAAGGCTAAACAACATTTTTTTTCATAACAATGGTATAGAAGGTAACAGTCACTCAATTAATCATATTTATAATCATAATTAATGCAAGGAAAATCTGTCAGTGTTCAGTAATTTTCAAACATGATGTTAGTAAAATACATTGCTTTACATAAAACTTTCAATGTGTTGGCACTCAGCCAATCTATAATCCTTGAAACTTTAATACCACTTTCAACTTTGCCCTTCCTGGTTGAGGTTGTGCTAGCATAACAAGGCAAGATCTAAAACAAATAATTCATTACAGTACACTAAATCTGAAAATGATTTACCTGGGTTCCTTCAATAAATAAGCCTAGCTAGTAATTGTTAACAGACAGAGTCATCCGAAAAATCTTTGATTACAATGCCCAGCATGTAAAATAATAACTAGCCGTCATCACTATGCTGCGGCTCACCATTGAGATACTCTATCATTACCTTACTTTATACGCAAAAATGCATGTGTAAGAAGAAAAAATCATACTTCAGCAGTAACCAAAGTGAACCTTTTACAGTTGAATACCAAGACATCAGAAACACCCTAAAGGAAGAATAAACAATTGCAAACACAGGGACAATCAATTCAATGCAAGTACAACCTGGTTTTCTGTACATGGTACAACTGGATGACCCAGTATTTGTCCATCTATGAAGAGACATAATTAAATCAACTCTTGAAAAAGCACCTGTAATAGGCTTTAACAAGACTCACAGCATGGCACACTACAAGGGCAGAAGCACAAGGCAAAATTAATGGCAAAAAATAGCACAAAGGTAAATTCTTGGCTTCCATATAGGAACAAGTAAATAAAGACCATTTAAAATGGAAAAGCAGCAGGATTGAATGGAAAGAAACAAGAGGGCACTTGCAAACTGGTGTGGGAAGAAATCCTACACCACTGCATGCATTGAACCTGCAAAATTCATTCGCTTGCACATACTGAGCAACGTAAAGGCCAAGCTTAGGAAAGACTTTTCATGCAGTGTTGTAGGATTTCTTCTCATACATGTTTGCAAGTACTCTCTTGTTTCTGTACTTTTTCCCCATTCAATCCTACTACTTTTCAATTTTAAATGTTTTTTATTTCCTTGTTTTGATTCTTTTTTCTTGAATTAATAAATGAAATTCCATTATGATGGTGTGGTCAGGTAAATTGTATTCATGATATTAGTGACTATTCTATTATGCCTGACTGTACTTTCTTTGATGTTATGTTTTTTCCGTTACTATGTTACTACTAACACTATTGCAACCACTGCTGATAAAATATATTGAAAACCAGCTCTTAAATTTAAATATTTGTCTGCTGTTTTAATTGTGGAAGTCACTTTAGTTGTTATACCAGAATCCTGCCTGATATCTCATCTTCATTAGCAGTGTGTTTACGGCTTTCTTCACATCATATTCCTAAATTTTGTCATAGTTCCAATACTTTTACCAAGAGTAAATGATAGTTTAAGAGAGTGTCGAACTGCATTATGCTAGCTGAAATATGACCGCGTAGAGCTAAGTCACATGAGACCTGAAGCGTGATTGTACTCACTAAAAGCACATGTAGAAGTTTGCATAAGGAACAGTGGACAACACTTGAAGTACAGCTACAGCAGAGACTCCAAAACGGCCAGTAAACCTTGTTGAGCAAACTAGGCAGCCATTTTATTCTTCTCAGCCACACCTAGTATGCGGGAATGCCCACAAGATGTGCAAGAAAGTTCTACACGGTCATATTCCAGCTAGCATAGTGCAGTTCGACACTCTCTCTAACTATCATCTACTCTTGCTTGAGCTTCATAAATGAATTACTTTCACACCATAGCCTTTTTCACTACCTTTTTTACCATATCCTCAATTTGCTTTGGTTACTGACACATAGAACAGGTTGTTTATTATCTTGTCGCATGCATTGACGTCACTTTTATGGTCAGTTTTGATGTCACTTACTGTAGCTATCTACACATTCAACTAGTCAAGGTTTTCAAATTCATATAGGCAAGCTGTATCTTTTCTTCCATAGCCTATTGGCAATGCCTCTCTTGGAAGACCTAACATATGAGGCTCCAATAGATTTGTACTGCTGATGTTTCAATAGCTTTTAAGATATCCAGGCATATTTCTTTCTATACTTATTCTTGAACTCAACACTAAACCATTGCATGGAACTCGATATTTCTCAACTTTTTCAATTAAATCTTATGTGACTTGAATGTTCAAAGTTATTTTGGATCTTCACTGATACCATAAAAACTTTATGAGTCAGTCATTTGATGAAGAAAGTTCAGGTGGACTATCACATTCCACTATTTTATTTTAATCAATATAAAAGTGGTTTACTACCAAACTCAAGCGAATTAGTATTTCATAAACTTCTTTTACTGGCAACAGTTGCCAGCATCACAAAAAAAGTTAAATCCAATTCATACAATGGTGTTGGCAAAATTGTACAAATGCAAAGACTATTCCCATTAAATTGTGCAACAATTCCGCAACTGTTGTACAACAACTGCCATAAGGGAATAAGCCTTCTTGTATATTTGACTGCAGGATAAGGTAACTACCTACGTTTGACAAATTGGAATTCAATTAGCGAAGAAATGATTATGTGTCCCCCATGGGCATGTTTTACCCACAGGGTTACATGCCGTGCCATTGCTTCAGCTGTTAATGGTGCTATTTGATTGTTGACTCTGGTAAAAATAGTAATAATTATGGCTCATTTTGAAAACTAGAGAAACCACTAAGTACCATTTTAGCTTTTGCGATGGTCTCCATTTCTTTGAC